TTTTTTTTTACTCTCAAAGCCGTGATTCCCATTCACTTCCATTATATGACTGACTGACTGCAACGGTTTGAATTAAAAATCTTCGTTTGTGTTCTACTGAAGAAACAAAGTCACCTACATCTTGGAGGCCCTGGGGGTAAACAGATAAACATCAAATTTTCATTTTTGGGTGAACTATCCCTTTAACCTACACTCCTTTAATCATTTAAACTAGCGGTTGGCCGATATATCCGATATATTTTATTTTGACTGTGCTGAGAATGGCAGCGTCTGACTCTTGAGCACACAGTGCTCACATTCTCCCTCTTGTTCGCTGTTGTCGTTAACAGTTCTGCCTAATACAGATATAAGTCTGTCTAATAATCCGATAGAACTGTTGAACAAATGAATTAAAACGTATACAAAAAGTATTATAACGATTGCTTTTATATTATTAGTAACAGAAAGGCAAACATTATAATACTTTCTCGTTTGCCGTCAGCATTCAGCAAATACGCATTTATATCATTTAAACAAACCTTTAAATTACTAATGAACATTTAATTTCACAAACCTTGCAGACTTAGTCGAATCCAGCTGTGAGATCTTATGAAGTGTGCTACTTTCTTTTTGTTTATATATTTTAAAATATTTCTTTATTTGTGAAAATTACTGTAATAGAATTATAGAATCAGGAAGTTGTCATCTAAAGTATAAGTATGTTTATTTTACACATTCCTTTTTAATATAATTTATTTTCAAATTATTTTAAGTTTCTCAAACATTAATTAAAATAAATACAAATTATAATTAAAATCAAAAATATACTTGGCTTTATATTGGCCATTGGCCACCCTGCTCTCTAAGATATCGGCATCGGCTGTCAAAAAACCAATATCAGTCGACCACTAATTATCGTGAATGTGTGTGGAAACAACGTGAATGTACGGAAATGTCTGTGCCTGTGCATAAATACAATGTGCGATCAGTGCGTCAAGAGCACTCATACACGCATTATTACAACGGACTCACGCATGCTTACTGTACGACTCCTGTACGCCATCGCATTCGTCTTTACCTTGATTGCAGTTTTGATCCATCAAAACTTTACTAGCGAGACTGGTTATGCAGTCGAGAAAACGTAGTTTGCGTCTCATCTGGCCATACAGCGGTGGGATGTGTTGACAATCCATTCAGTCTGTAC